GGAACTGAGCATGCCTGGCTGTGGAATTCTGGGAGTTGAAGTCCACAAGTCTAAAAAGTGCCTCACCAGGCCTAAAGCTGACCGCACATCACTGATGTGGAGTTTTAGAAAAAGATTCTCTAAATTATTTTTTGCATCATATGAATCAATGTTATATATGGAGCAGCACATCGAGTTTGACAAAGAAGCCTGCATTATTAGAATTAGTCTCAGTTCATGTGATAGAAACATAAAACTGACTGCTTATGGCTTTTTGCTGGGTAATATTAAGACAAATCCCAATAATGCTTGATTACTGTAATAACCTCAAAATATTTCTTGACTGATTCATAAACTCATTTATAAGTCAGTAAAAGGTCCCATAAATGCTTATTTAAGCTGTGTCAGTAATAGTTTAATTATGTTGCTTCTCATAAATGGCAATATTCTGGAATGGTTGTAATAATACAACCCTAGTATGCTTCTACTAATTCTTTGAATTTGCCTGAACTAGTTGTCTAATCCAGACTTTTAAAGAGTGCTTTTAGTCATGCTTAGTGTTTACAAACTGGAATCATTGCCTTTTTAAAAATCTAATAACTAGAATCACAAGCTCCATTTAATAAAGAGAAATTCATGTGAAACCATTATTATGGTGGTTGGTTGCACAGCCAACCAGACATTTAGACTGAATTTGACATTTTTATCTACCTATTCCCAAGGACCTTCCAGAGGACCTGGGATTGGCAGATGGTGTTTGATCGTGTTAAAGATATTGTCACAGTATGTAACTTGTTCCAAGCAAAGCTTCCTTTTGCAATTGGTTGATGGTGATTCTGTCAATGCTGATGGTGTTCAAGTGGTGGTCCAGATATTTTGAAATTGTACCCAATTTACTACTGATACTATATTTAAAACTTGAAGTAATATACAAATTATGTCAAAATCAAGAGCAAAAAATTAAAATACAATCACATTTAAAAATATACATGTAAATGTAGATGAGAGGGAGGAAGGCGAACATTCAAATTTCATGTATTACTTTCCCATAGGAAGATGTGAGCAAAGGGAAAGGTTAACAGGCATCTAAAAAAAGTCATGATTGATATTTGATGAACAATTGCTACTCTAAGAAAAGCCATTGTAAAGAACCATAAATTGGCAGATATTAACAAGCTCTAAGATAAAGGATAATAGAAATAAAATTGTAGACGACAGCACAAAACCTCTCATTTTTTTCATTTCCTGGATTTTTGTGTTCTTCTTTTCAAATAAAAAATGAAGTAATCTTTCACTAGGATTCTAATTCTCTACTTCTGTTTGGGACTGCGCTTTCTGTCTCACTGGCTAGAAAGGGATTTGTTCAAACTTTAAAATGTCATTTAATTGTGACCAAGTATTGGTGAAACATCTATTTGGGCAACTTTGATCTGTTGGTAAGAACAATTTAAAAAACGTAACAGTCATTGCTTTCTTAATAAATAAGTATTGATTTTTCCTCTAGTTTAAGCAGCTTTCCATATGTATAATATGTGTAATATACAAATAACATTGAGTCTTATAGTTATCAGACTTATTCTTACTTGAGTTTTTATCCTCAGATAAGGAATGCTAAATTTCAAAGAGGTCATTGGTTTGTTGTGAAATACCCAATCTATTTTCATTGTGTAAATACATTTTGAAACTATCCTGCTATAATTTGTAACTTCCATTATGCTGTGTCTATCAGACATTTGAAGTGAACAATTTGCCATTCCAATCTGCCAGCAAATTAGTGCAGCTCAAACTGGTAATTGGACTATAGAGTGACACTGTAACTGTGAAAGATCATGAACAGTGTTTCTTGTTTTTGTAGACAATTAATACATTTGTTCCATATACCTTCTAAAATGGATGCAATAATTTTTGATCAAGCATGTAAGCTTATGTATGTAAGATTTGTTCTTACGTGTTCCGTCCTGTGAAGTTAAATTTACAATTTATGTTAAATTTTATATCCTAATGTTTCAAGTTTGGAAGAAGTGATGGAAAAAAGGCTTTAGTTTAAACATACAAAACCCATTCTTCAATGCTATTGTGTCATTCAGAAAATAATTGGGGAATAGTTATTAATAACAATATCAGAAATGTTGACTGAATGAAGCTAGAATGCTATTTTAAAAAGATAACTTTAAATGTGAAAATGATATTCATTTTCTGTATATGCATTAATGATGATTAATTCATCCTGGTGGACGGCATTCTGACACTATGTAAAGAAGCAATGGAGTACTTTGTCTTCAAGAAGCCTTTAGTGTACCCTACTATGCTGGATAATTTCCTCCAGTCTCTCACCTTCCCTTCTTAGAAAACCTGGTTGAGAAGATGTTGACACTACAGCATCAGATAATTCTGGATAATATGGATAGCCTGGACTCCTGAGAGTGGGATGGGGTAGTGGATCTATCCTGGTTCTCCTTGAACTTTTGGTAACTTTTGATACCATCAATCTGGTACCCTTTTGGGTCCTGTGGGAGTTGAAAGTGGGGAACATTTTTGTGCTGGTTTACTTCCTTCCTCTGAGGTCTGTCCCAATCATTGTTGATAGGGGACAAGAGCCTGAAGCCCCTGCTTTGTGGGATCCCCAGAGAGCTAAGTGCTCTTTCTGCTCCTTTGAAATATCTATATGAAGCTGCTGAGTGTCAGTTTGCTTCCAGGTGCAATTCAAAACGTTGTTTATGACCTTTAAGCCCATCATGTAATGGGCTCAGATTATCGGAGGAACTGTCTTCTCCCAACTGCATTGGTAAATCCTACCAGATCAGGCAGAAGGAGCATGTGTTGAGCCTGTCTGCAAAAGAATTTCAATTGGTGGGATCTGCTGTTGTCCCCATGCTATGTTGCCCCCTCCCCAGGTGAATCTGGCCCCCACTCTTCTGACTTTCTGAAAGAGTGTTAAGACCTGGCTCATCAACTAGACTAGGGAACAAAGAGGTGGTAGTTGTTGGGTTGGGTGAACTCTCCCTGTCTTTATACTGTACTTAGTTTATTTTTGCATTTATTTTATGGTTTTTACCTTAAAATACCCATAATGACTTAGAAAGTGAGGTGAGGGTATATAAATTTGATAAATAAATAAATATTCCATGACACTCAAAGTGGCAAAAGAGAAAGTTAAGAATGAATGAACAAACAAACAAACAAGCAAACATTTATATAGATTATTTTCTGTTACATATAAAGATACATATTATCCCTGTCCTGTTTAACAGCTGAAACTGGAACATAAATTTTGCAATATGTAGGAAGAAAAACCGTTTATATTTAATTGAATCAAATGTTTCTCTTTCAGCACCTTGAAAGTTAAATACATGAAGTTTGCCATGGAATTCACATATTGATTTTGTCTAGTGATGTTATTGTGAGAGGAATAACTTTTTACAAATGATTTTTTACCAGTGCAAAAATGTTCCTGGAGTGCTCACCTGTTGGAAATGTAACCAACAACATGGAATATACTACCATATGTGGTGGACGTGCACATCTTCGAAAAAATATTGGAAAAAAAATAAAGATTGGCTAGAGGAGATTACTACACACCAAATTGCACTAAAATCTGAATTATTTTTGTTAGGAATTATAAAAGGAAATTATGAAAAAAATATTNTTATCAATTAATCAAGAGAGAATTGAAAATAAGTCTCGTAGGCTTTGGACTGAGTAATAGAACTGAAAGGAAACGGAAGTCCAGTCAGAGGAGGCGTGACTTTGAAATTTGCATACTCAGTCTCAAGGCTAGAAGGCTAAGTTAACCCATGATTGGATTCCCGGAGCAGCACACAGGAGAAAGAAAATGTTTTTAAAACGAATTATTTCAATCAAGTGTTTTTCAGTCTTGGCAACCCAAGTTGAAGTCCCCATGCTAGTTGGGGAATTTTGGAAGTTGAAGTTCACACCTTAAAATTGCCAAGGTTGAGAAACACAATATTAAGCACTTTATTAAGGTCCACTGTGTTAAAATCACTCGGATTAGTTTCATATTCAGTAGGACAGTGATGGCAAACCTTTTTTCCCTCTGGTGCCAAAAGCGTGCACGTGCGCTATAGTGCGTGTGTGCCCACACCCATAATTTAACACCCCCCCACGCCCCTGCATACCCCTGCGAATGTGCGCAGGACCCCACCCCCCCGCGCCATATTTTGGGCCTAGTAGGCCGCCCTGAAGCCTCTGGAGGCCGGAAACAGCCCATTTCCCGACTTTTTGTAGGCCCATTTTTTCACAAGCCCTGTACTTACTTGGCATTGTGTGGAGACTCCTTGGAAGGGAAGGGCAGCATAGGTGGGCCAACCATAAATCATCTTGCCAGTGCGTGCATGCGTGCTGAAGCAAGCTAGGGCAATGGCTCATATGCCCACAAATGTGGCTCCGCGTGCCACAGGTTCACCATCATGGCACTAGGATCAATGGTGGGTTTCCATTTTTTTTACCTACCAGTTTGCTCGTGCACACGACACTTCTGCGCATGCACAGAAGGGTCCGGGTGGGTGTGCGGAGCCCCACACCACTGCCACTACCGGTTCATCCAATCTGAGCTGAACCGGGAGCAAACCCAGGGTTCTAAAGCTTTTTAAAGAATCGTTCATATTCTTACCGTTTCATTTGCTTCTTTTAGTTTTTCATCAAACTCTCGGATTAACTTTTTTTTCTCCTCTACAAGATAAATTTTTAAAAACATAAATTTTCACCAAAGGACAAAATATTAGCAGTACAAAAAGAATTCATACACTACCATGTTTCCCCGAAAATAAGACAGGGTCTTATTTTCTTTTGACACCCCCCCAAATGTTGCTTAGGACTTATTATCAGGGGGGCTTATTGGTTTGGGGTTGCCAGGTGGCTGTTCTCTTGCGAGCGGGGTGCCTGAAGAGCCAGGCACAGCCTCAGGGGCAAACCGCTGTGTTGTGCTGTCGCAGCAGCGCAACAAAGCTGCTATGAGGTGACCATGCTCACGAACAGCCACCCAGCAACCCCCCTTTCTAGCCAGGTAGAGCACCACTTACCGACCCAGTAATATCTCAAAGCACTAAGCTCATGGTGCTCTGCCCGGCTGGAAAGGGAGTGCCTGTTCTGCCCCAGCTTGCGTGCTTCCCAGCCTCACCATGCCCTGGCCCAGCTCTCCCTGCAGGGCCAGGGCATCACCACCACAGCGCTGCAGGGCCAGGGCACCCATGCTGTTGCCGCCGCTGCCATGCTCCAAGCATAATAGGATTCCAAACTCTGGAGATCCGCTGCTGAGTCTTCTGGCAGCGGCCACTTTGGGACTACGCTCTATTGTTGTGGGCCATCTGCAGGAACACTCTCTGTCCCACCCGAGTCTTCCAACAGCCAGCTCACAACCATAGAGCATAGTCCCAGAGCATCCACTGCCAGAAGACTCAGCAGTGGATCTCCGGAGTTTGGAATCCTATTATGCTTGGAGCATGGCAGCAGCGGCAACAGCATGGGTGCCCTGGCCCTGCAGGGAGAGCTGGGCCAGGTCATGGTGAGGCTGGGAGGCACACAAGCTGGGGGCAGAACAGGCGCTCGTGCAACCTCTCTTTCCAGCTGGGCAGAGCGCCACGCGGCTTAGCGCCTTTGGGATATTACTGGGTTGGTAAGTGGCACTGTGCCTGGCTGGAAAGGGGGGGTTGCCAGGCGGCTGCTCGTGAGAGCAGCTGCCCGGCAAACCCACCCCCTGCTCCAGCTGGGCACAGCATCACTCACCAATCTAGCGGTATCCCAAAGGCGGCAAGCAATGTGAGCGCCTTTGCTCCCTTTCACCCCCAGCTCCTGTGCCTTGGTGCTATCAGGCTATCGCTAGGTTGGTGAGTGTTGCTCCGCCTGGCTGGAAGGGGGGGTTGTCCAGGGAGCTTATTATTGGGGGAGGGTGTATATTTTTGCCCACAGGAAAAATATGGCATGGCCTTATTATCAGGATATGTTGTAGTTTCAGGGAAACATAGTAGATATATTATTTATACCTTTGTTGTGCTTGCTCAAGGTTTTATATTAATATTCGAAGCGTTTTCCACCTCTGAAAGTGGCAACTGTGCTGTCACTTTCAATAATTAGAGGTATATATATATATATCTGGAGTTGCTCACTTTTTACTGGATCTCTGACTAAATGCCTTTATGAACTAAGATTTTTTGGTGTTGATCTCTAGGCCAATGTCTCTGGAAATAAGCTCTCAAGCAGGCATAACAAAATTATAAAGAAAAACCTTCTACCAATCATACATAGCGTACATATGTACATACACATATATGTATACGTACATTTGTGTCAAGGCTCTGACTAATGAACCCAAGAAGCTGACATTGTCAATAAATTAAAAAACCACAGACCACTCATTTTAAATAATGACTTGTTTTTCCTATCATTTTTATTCAAATACATTCATGTGTCTCCAGAATTGTCATCTCTAGTTAAGCAGATCCCATACAAAATGACTGTTTTTGTACCTTATTAGATAATGGGCTACATTCAAAGATATTGCTCTGCTGAGGCAACAATATAGGCCCCAAAGCAATGATTTTTTTTTCTTCATACATATCCTGAATCTGTTCTGGAGGGTACATGCAAGGTGATACCTATTATATTAACCTGATTGGTTCATATAACTTTGTAAGCAATCCACAGATTTAGTTCATTGACACTATTCATGTCCTTTTATTGTCAGCTTTACTTTAAATACTTTACACAGCACTCTTCCTACCCAACTAAATTGCCTGCTAAATAAAGGATCCTAAAAAAAACCCCATGTATCATTTAACCCTTATCATGTACTCCAATCAGGACTGAATAAATTATTTTTAAATGTTGTTTTGAATTATTTTCAGAACAGATAAGTTTGGCAATACCTCCCCTCACACCCCCCCCCCCAAATTCCCAGAGATTCATGTAGCTTTTGTCTTTATGACATTTAGGATATTGATTTTCTTTTTTATATGTATGGTGGCCAGAGTCATTAGGAAATTAGGCAGCCTCAAAATTGGATAAATAAGCACATAATACGATAGTATGTAGCAGCTGCCAAAAAATAAAAGCAGAAGTCTTTCTAGGCTGCATTAATCAAAGTATTGGGAAAGGTCAAGAGAAGTTAAGATTCCTCTCTGCTTTGCACTCCATTTTAGAAAGCACACTGATAAATTTAAGGTGTCCAGAGAACAGAGACCAAGGTGATAAAGGACCTGAAAGGAAAAATAGTTGGCGGTATTGGCCTGGAGAAGACTCTGGGATGATATGCTAGCTGTTTTCGAGTATCTGCAAGGTTGTCATGTAAAAGTTGAGGCAGACTTGGTGAATATCATTAAGGCATTACAAGGCATTAAAATTCATTGGGGCATTGAATATTGGGTCATTGGGGCAAATAAGAAATGATCAATGATGGAACAATCTACCCGAGGAGGTGCAGGGGTTTCCTTCACTAGAGGTGTTTAAGCTGAGACTGGATGGACATGTATCTAGGATACTCAGCTTGTAGATTTATGTATTGCACAAGGGTGAATTTCAAGTCTTACATTGTGTGAGGTTACAAGAGTCCTCGACTTAGGACCACAATTGAGTCCAGAATTTTGTTGCTAAGTGAGAAATGTGAGGTTTGCCCGTTTATAACTTTTGTTGCCACATTTGCTAAGTAAATCACTGCAGTTGTTAAATTAGTAATACGACTGTTAAGTGAATCTGGCATCCCCATTGACTTTACCAGAAGGTCGCAAAAGATGATCACACGATCCCAGGACACTACTTATATCTCTTGTGTAACTCTACACTGTCTATTTGTCTTTATTAAAACATGACAACCAGCTCTCCCCCTCTCTTTCTCACACACACAATTACAAGAGATGTGAAGACTGTAATTCAATGCTGCACAATGCAATTTGTTCCATGTAAACAAGTCAGCAAGTAAACAGGTTAGAAAGCAACTGCGGGAAGGGGGGGAATCAAAGGCGAAGAAAGAAGCCTAGCCCTGAATACGTGTGTTTTTTCTTTTAACCTGAATAAACTCTCTCTATATGGTGAAAATGCAAAGCTCTTTTGTCCTCCCCCAAGGGAAAGGGAGAACTTGCCACAGCCAATTCGCAGTGGGCACCCTGGCGCAGGACAACTCGCCACGGCCAAGACAACTCGTTGCGAGACAATTTAACAATTCTATTTAATTATTTAAAAGAAATAAAAAATATTTTAATTTTTGCCATTCACATTTCATTCTGTCCCTCCTTTTGCATGCTTTCTTTAAGTGATTCTGTTCCACCATTGTTCTTTGATATTAGTGTAACTCTTGTCCTGCAGTTGAGCTGTCCTGTGGCGAATTGTCATAGACCCCTCCCCGAATCCTCAGCCTCCCGCTCTGGTATCTGGAGGGGGCACCGATTGGTTTCCGTTTTACCGGCACCCGATAATCCTCGAGCTCCCCCTCGTCACCTCGGGCAGCGACCTCCTCCCTTGTTTGGGAACCTCCGCGGCATGGCCCGGAGAGGCCCGGAGCCAACCCAGGGAGAAGCTCCCTCCCACAGCCACCCCCGCAAGACTGGAGCGCTGCTTTCCTACGTACCAACCGCCAGGTTCCCGCGCAGCCTCTCCGGGGCGCTTTGCAACTCCCCATGGAGGCCGCGAAAAATCTCGTGCAGCCGCTCCAGATGCTCCGAGGAGCCGATGCTGCGGTCCGCCATCCCGAGGAAGTCAGGAGACAACAGCTTCCTCCCCACCCCCCCCACCCCCGATCCGACGCCGCCCGGGAATAACTACCGCCTGGAAACCATCCTCCACCGGCACTTCCGGGATAAGGGGCGGAGCTTAGGCCACACCCTCATCCTCCGTCCCTAGCAGATCGTCCCGCCAGAGTGACTAAAGCAGTGCCTGGAAATAGTGCTGTCAATCGCAACAGCGCCACCATCGTTGCGGCGGAGAAACAGCCACCTCTCTGAGACGCGGGGAGGGGAGGGGGAGACAATGTTTGTGTTTGTTATTCATACGAGGATAGCAGCTGAATAGAATAGATGCAAACCCCTTCCATATTGATGTCAGAAGGAACCTAGCTGTAAGGAGACAAAGTTAGGCTGCCACAAAGAAGAGGGGGTGGGGTGGGGGTGTCAATTTATTTTTCAAAGCACCAGAGGGCAGGACAAGAAACAATGGATGGAAACTAATCAAGGAGAAAAGCAAACTGGAATGAAGGAGAAACTTCCTAACAGTGAGGACAATTAACCAATGGAACAGCTTGCCCTCAGATGGTGTGGGTGCTTCATCACTGGAGGTTTTTAAGAATAGGCTGGACAGTCACTTGTCTGGAATGATATATGATCTCCTGTTTGAGCAGGGAACTGGACTAGAAGATCTCCAAGATCCTTTTCAGCTCTATTCTGATTCTGATTTATTGCCCAAATCTCCTCTGATCAATAGGAGGCAAAATTCTATAAAGAACATGGAAGTGGTTTGCATTTGTTCTCCTATTCAGCTGCTACCCTTGTCCAACCTTCTTTAACTTTTCAAGGTTAGTCATGGATCAGAGAGGTCAACTGGAATGACACAATAAATCTATTGTGCTCATTTAACTGAAAGTAAAGGTAGTCTTCGAGTTACGACCACAATTGAGCCCCAAATTTGTGTTGCTAAATGAAACATGTTGTGAGTTTTGCCCCATTTTGCA